AATTTATTTTTATTTATTTTTTAAATCAAATCGTAATTTTTACTTATTCACACAGGGGTTATAAACACAAAAAGGCAGGACATGGGGAAGGGGATGACACCGGAGCATGGGTATTCAGGGGTAGTACAGATATCGTTCAGAACAGGGTATCGGCTGGGTGAAGGTTCAGGGGAGAGGTCACTATGACTCTGCCTATGATTCACTTGTCTTAATCTAAGTTGATACTATCCGCCAAGGCTACCTATTTACAAGGTCTATGACTACTCAGGCTGGTAAATTTCCACAAAAGCTGCCTGTTTACAAAAGTTTATAGCCATCTGTTTCAGTGTTTTTCCACAGAGACCCAAGACTTGGAGTGAGTATACATGTATGACAGGCCTATTGCTGATTTTAGGCCTATGGCTGATTTTAGGCCTTCAGTGTATAAGCAGGGCTGTCCCTGACATCTCCTCCCTTCTCTAAGTATAGAAGGGCTTTGGCAATTCTAATCTTTCGAAGGCGGGGATAGAAGCCTGACCTCCAGTAATTGAAGGGGACTTTGTAATGGCTCTGGTCCCCCTGTTGTTGTCCAGTGAGGCATGAGGCCCATACCCATCCCAATGTCTTTTTCCTGGAGAGGGGATACTTTTGACATCAACCCCTATGCAGTCAGGCTTGTCCCTCAGGGAACCCAGAGAGATATTTTTATCTTTTATTTATATTCCCTTGCAGTGCTTAGCCTCGCAGCCTAAGCAAGAATTCAGATCGCCTGTCAGAGGGGGTTCTGGGTGGCCCCTCTCTGCTTGGTCTAGGGGCAGAAGTCCCCTCTTTTAGGTTGGGTGGAGATGGGTTTTGGGAACACCCTGGATAGAGTAACAACCTCATCTTGAGTCTTGTGGTCCTCCATAGCTAACTTATGATAATGTACCTGAATAGGTTTTGCTACCAAATTATTTATCTGTTGTTTCACAAAGTTTGTCAGCCTATTTAACATCCAGGGACCAAAAGAAAGAAGCAAAAATAACCCAGTTAATGGTCCCAAGATGGGAGGAAGTAGGGTTGACAACCGTGGAGAGGTTGAAAACCAATTCTTGTACCAGCTCTCATCTTTCTCTTTCTCTCTCTGTCTTTTCTCAGGGCCTTCTCTGACCTTTTTCATGCTGTCTTTAACCATCCCTGTCTTGTCTATGTAAAGGCAACGTTCTTCTTTGAGGGCTGTACACAGTCAAGAGCTGTACACAGTCTTTTCTATTGTAAAAGAGTAAATCGAGTCCAATAAAGTCCTTTGTAATTTTTGGAGGTCTCTTCAGACAGAGAAACGAGGGATTTCTTCAGATTAGTGATGTCAGTCTCTATCTGTTTGATGTTCTTGTCAATGGCCTGTCAAAGGTCTGAGTAGTATAAATTTGGAGGCCAGCATCTGGATTAGAACTAGCAGTAGACATCACAGGTGATTCACTTTTACCTGGAAAGGAAAAAGAAGGGAATTCTCAGGGAGATTTCTCTTCCCTGGATGTAAATTGTTATTTATCTTATTTATGGTTGGGCCTGGCTTTGTGGGGGTATCTATTTATTTCATTAATCTTTTTGGTAGCCATTTAGCTGTGCTTTCTCTGATATCAATCAGTCATATCAATCATCGGCCCCATAAGAGAACTGGGTCCGGGCCAATCCCTTTAAGGGTAAGAGGGTCCTTCCACATAGCTGTGGCATAGATTTTATTGGTCTCGGTGATTCTAGAGGCAGTCAGAAGCAGATTTGCCATGAGCTTTCAGTTTTAGAGAGTTAAAAGTGAACAAGGCATGATGGAGAGTATTTTGGGGTACTCTTTGGGGGAGGGGGTACCGTTCCCCTCTTTTGTTTTTAAAGCCAATTTTTCAGAGTTCTTGTAAAATCAGGGCAGAAGCACCAGCAGCCGCTCCTTCCACACTCAGAGAGTCATGAAGACACTATTTAAAGAAATATAAATCTATATTAATAATCTCTTTTATCAAAGGACTGTTACAGAACAGCCAACAACTAATCAGACTATATAATATATCACTTAATAATAGCTTCTTCTACTTTTTGTGAGATTACTCCTCTTTTGTCAATTAATTGTTGAGGGAAATTAGGATTTACATCTCTCTTGAGAATATTAAACAGAGACTTAAATTCTTTTGTGGAGAGCTTAAAATAAGATCTTAACCAATTAACATCTCCTAGAAACTTTTGAAAATAATTTGAAATAAGTAAACTATCTCTCTTTTTTTTTTTCCCAGACCCAATCTGAGATACTGCCCAGGTTAGAGCTCCTCAGAGGCCCTCTTCCTCTGGCTTTTGTAAGGTTGGGTACAGAGCTGCCGCCTGGGATCTGCTCTGTGATCAGGCCCAGACAGGAAGTCGCTACCATTCATTGTTAGCTATCATTCTTAGTGTACTTCTCTGACCTTTGCAGCTTTGTGCTCCATGAAATCTCATTGTCATTTTTTCCTGGTTATTTTCTGTGTTCCTGAAATCACTTTTGGACACTGTTTACTTTTTTTTCTGAATTGTTAAGTATTTCATCATGTTCTCTTCGAGTACTTTCAACATTTCAAGTTTTCCAGGAAGGTCTTTGAAGTAGTTGGTATAGACTTTTGTATAGGGTAAGAGATATGGGTCTAATATTTCTCTTCTCCACATGAACAATTATTTTCTCAGCACAAAACGTTCAAAGAGTATTTTTCTGGCTTCATCTTTGTCATACTTGTCTTACATTACCTCTCTGCTGTGTTTATTTCTTGGTTCTCTGTTCAATGTTCTACATGTTTCTGTATGTGCAGGACCATGCTGTCTTTGTCCTTGTGTCTCTGTATTATGAAATGTGATCGGGTCTTGTGATACCCCAAGGAGTACTCTTTTGTTCCATTTAGTTTGATTCATAAGATTTTCTTGTGTCCGTGTGACTGTTTCCAGGGGGTGCTGTTTGGCAAGCTGATTGGGCTCTGAGGAAACAGTGGATACCTGCAGGCAGGTCTTAGGTGGGACTCCTGTACTACTGTGGCCTCTGGTAGAGCTAGAGCTGTGGGCTGGGAAATAGTTTTGTATTATATCAAGTCTACTTATTCCCCCTGATGTCTGTGGGGACTTCTATCATTAAGAATGAGCTTGGTGCCTTTCTTGTCTACCTTTTTCTCCTTTGTCTTAAAATTTCTCTAGTTTACTCTTACCACATCCTCCTCCTCGTCCTCTTCCTCCTCCTCCCCCTCCTCCTCATCCTTCTCTTCCTTCTTCTCCTACTCCCCCTCTTTTTTGTTTTTTTAAGAAAGGGTTTCTCCGTTTGTAGTCCTGGCTGTCCTGAGACTCGATCTCTATATACATCAGGCTGGCCTCAAACTCACAGAGATCCTCCTGTTTGTGTCTCTCTAGTATTGGGATCAAATGTGTTTGCCACCACCGCCAAGCCAGTCTCTTTAGCTTGATCTTATGGTTCTGGATTCAATAAGACCGGTGAGTGCATGCATCTTTTCTCTGTACAGTGTTCTTGCTGTGCTGTTCAGTTTTCCCTCCACTGTATGTTGGCTTAGGTATGACATAAGTACTCTTTACTTGGTGATCCTGGTAACATTTTTTTCCCTAGTAACTTTAGGAGTTATTACAAAATCTTGTTGAACTGTGTCTATGAGAATTTACAACTTTCTTCAAATATACTTACTTGGCCATAAATTTTAGGAGTCAATGTTCAGTGATAAAGTTCATAGTTATTTTCTTTCCCTACTCTAAATATATCCTTCCATACTCTCTTCTGTGTAGGAGTGCTGACAAAACCTCTAGTATCATTTTGATTTGGGAGTCTTCTTATGTGGTTTGACATAGTCTGTAACACAGTTGGATTAATTTTAATTTTGTATTTTTGACCTCTCAATGTGGAATTTCATCAAGAGTTCCAGTCTTTTTTCCTGAGACAGAAAGTCAGAGAAGAGTGACAGAGAGAAATGGCTGCTTCTCCAGGAAGTGTGCCCCAGGTCAGTGTTGTGTCTAGATTTCTTTGAAAATTGTTTTTATATTGAAACCATTCATTCTTTTAATTTTCTGCCTCTGGTAATGTCATTTAAATTGGTTTTTTTTATTTGTTTGTTTTGTTTTGTCTTTTTTTTTTCTTCTCTGGTAACCAGGATTAAGTCTTTATGTCTTGTCACATACATAGCACAGCCTTATTCCATTATATCTTCCCTCAGTTATTATTGTGGGGACATAAATTTTCATGGACTTAATTAGGACTGCAAATTCTGAGAGACTCCTTTGTAAATGATGATCAAAGAAATGCACTGATTCTCATTTCCTACAGAGGATGGATTTGTGTCCTTCTATATTAGGGAGGAAGGTAGATCTTCATGTGCCCCACATAGGTTACATTTTAGGGATGGTCAGATTCCCAGAACCAGGCTTACAAAGTGGACATGCTACTTTTGGCTAACATCACTGAGCAAGTTATGGAAGAATAGAATTAGAAGGAACTTCCTGTCTTTAATCTTAATTATAAATATTTCAGCACCCTAGAGAGAGTAGATGATAGAAAAAGTATGTGACTAGCTCTTGCCGTAAAACCTCCCTTACTAAGAGGGGACGTAGATTACAGTATGGCGGATTTCCTCTTTGCTGGTGTGTTGACACCTGCAATCTATTTGTCTCAGGAAAGGTGCTGCTCATATCCTGTTCTTGATTCCAGTTTCTAGTGGTAAATTCTCAACAGACAGATGAATATTTTCCCTTTGTCCGTTTTATTTTTCTGTCACAGTGTAAACACTGCTAGCCCCATCTGGATATTGCATTACATGGAATGTACCAGTAAAAATATTCTACAGAGCATTGATTTGGGGCTGTATATAAGCCCATCAGCTTTCATGCATAAACCAATGTCCCTCTTAATGACTCTGCTCTCTTTTTGGGGGGGAGGGGAGGAGGAAGGCTCCCCCATCCTATGCCTATTATTTCCCTGAAGCTGTGTATTACATAAGTAGAGTTTTTGAAGTGAACTTGAGGTGGAGAGATTTCCATTCATTTTCAAAAAAAATTTTTTTTATCTAACTCTGAATGTTCATCTTCAGGTTTTTATGTACACTAGATGCCCGCATGGTGCTTGTGGATGCCTGAGGATGGCACCAAATTTTTGGCACTAGAATCAGTCACTGTAAGTGAGCTGCCTTATGTGTAAAGAAAATTAAAGTAGGTTTCTCTGCAGGGACAACAAGTCCACTTTACTTCTGAGCCATCTTTCCAGTCCTCAGGTTTATACTTCTGGTTAATGACAGAGTCAGTATGTAAACTGTCATTTTCTAGTTTTTGAAAAATAAAGACTCAAGAATGGTAATTATCTATGCAACCTAAAATCTTGTTAGATGGTTGAGCTGAAATAGTGAAGAAGAGGAGAACTTATAAGATTCAACCTTTCTTTTCTTTTTCTTTATCTTTTTTTTCTTTTTTCTTTTTTGTTTTTCAAGATGCAGGGTATCACTGTATAGTCTTGGCTGTTTTGGAACTAGTTCTGTAGACTAGGCTGGCCTCAAACTCAAAGAGATCTATCTGCCTGCCTCTGCCACCTGAGTGCTGGCCATTACTTGCCAAAGGCAAGTGCCATCATCGCCCAGGTAAAAGTCATATTTTCAATTGAGCCAATTTCTTGAGCAATAATATGTTCAGAATTTGTGAAGAGTTAGTATAATGTTTGCTCAGTTTAATAACATTTGTCTTGATCACAGATAATCTTTCTACTTCATCTGAATGAATTTTCACACAGATTATTTATTTACAGGTATTTTTCTAACTATTCTGTAGAGACTATGGGGTTTGGGAAATTGTTATTCACCTGTATTGGTTGTGTGGATTTTTAGAAAAATTTAGATAATATTAATGCTGTCCCTTGATGTTTTTTTTTCTGTTCACTTCATAGTTGTCAAAATATTCTCATAACTTCACAAAATATTGATCCTGTTTCTTGTTTGGAACAGTGGTTGAAGGCAGTAATGTTTTATACTCCTTACTGTTTAAAAAAAGAACTATTTGACTTTTGACTCATCCGTGAATTCTGCATTCCATATTCTTTGCTTTAGAAAGGGTGCAGCACTGCACATAAGCCTTAGCATCTGAACTGAGTTCTTCAGAATAGACTCAACTGGAACCCAACTGCAGACAGGATTGATCTACAGTCCATATTTCAACAGGATCGACAGTTGTAGAATTTTGATGCACAGTTTTTCTCATTAAAAATTTCTCCATCTCAGAAGAGACACTGTGATCCTGTTTGATATCAATACAGCCTTAATAGAATTACGTTTCTACATCCAGACCTCAAATCTGTATTTTATAGTCCCTACAAATTTGCTAACTATGAGAATATCATCACAATCACCCAATTTTCACAGAGATAGAAATACAGGATAGAGTATGACTGTTCTAGACAATGTCCTTATGATTTATTTATTTGATTTTTTTTAACGATTTATTTATTTTATGTATGTGAATACACTGTTGCTCTCCTCAGACACACCAGAAGAGGGTATCAGATCCCATTACAGATGGTTGTAAGCCACCATGCAGTTGCTGGAAATTAACTCAGGACCTCTGGAAAAATAGTCAGTGCTCTTAACGCCTGAACCATCTCCCCAGCCCTGATTTTTTTTGAGACAGATTTTTTTTGATGTGTGTGTGTGTGTGTGTGTGTGTAAGTGTGTGTGTAAGTGTGTGTGTATCCCTGGATGCCTTGAAACTTCCTCTGTAGACCAGGCCTGCCTCTGCCTAACAAGTGCTGGGATTAAAGGCATGTGCCACCATGCCCAGCTAAAAGTGTCCTTTATTAAAATTAACTTTCATTTTTATTTTATGTGTGTGAGTATATTTGCTTTAATGTATTTGTGAATGCTATACTTTCAGAATTCAGAAGAGACCATTAGATCTGATAGAACTGGAGGTAGAATCTCTGGCTTAGCATGATGTAGGTGCTAGGAACCAAGTGTGAGTCCTATGGAAGAGCATCTAGTGCTCTTTCCTTCTGAACCATCTCTGTAGCACCTCTAGAGAACTGATGTCATTAAATAATTGTCCTGGTCCATATCACAAAAATGTCTCTAAATTCATCAAGTCTAGTTCATTAGGTAATTTCCTTTTTCCTAAGAAAACATTTTCCCCCCAGCAGCACATGGTAAATGGGTAATTTTCCATGATAGGGTCTGTTGACATTCAGGGATGTGTCTGTGGACTTCTCTCAGGAGGAGTGGGAATGCCTGGACCCTGCTCAGAGGACTTTGTACATGGATGTAATGTTGGAGAATTACAGGAATCTAGTCTTTGTAGGTAAGAATGTTCTTGTTGTAGAATCCCTGACTTATCCTTTGTATTTACCTACTTTGTATGTATGTAAATTCTCTGAACTGTCTAGAGACTACCAGAAATAAGGAAATTCTGACAATGAACACTTTTTCATGGTGCTTCTTTTACATTTGTCCTTGTTCTCTGTGACAGTAACCAATGATACATTCTGTGCAGTCTCTCCAGCTCTCTTATGTAGATTTTAAGGAAAACTTCAAAGTTCAAAGAAAATTAAATATTCAGAGCAAGGAAATGCCTTGCAGTATGCTTAATTAATTGGACTATTTTGATTTTCATATGGAATTAAAATATTCATCTCTTCCTGATTTTTAAAAATTGAGAGGTTTTAAAATAAAGAGCTGTGGGCGATAAGCATGTTGTTTTTGTTTCTTTCTTTATTTTTTGACATTCAGTCTCTCTAGACCTGGCACAGCATCATTTTAATCCTAGCACTAGGGATGGTGAAGCATGAGGATCTGGTGAGTTTCTGGAGAGCCTGATTTATGTCGTGTGTTCTTAGCTAAGAAAGGCTACGTAATGGACTCTATTTCAAAAATATAAACAAAGAAGATAATAGAGAAACAAACTTTATATGACCCTTCAAAGAGCTACTGCCTCAAAGTTCATTATTGCTCGTTAACTGTTTGTCCATCCTCTGAAAGGTAAGTAGTTTAGATAAGAATGAGGAGACTATTATTGGTTCTTTTGGTCTGATGGAGATCAGAGTGGAGATTTTTTCTGAGCTTCCATTTAATGATAGTGAAACACAGAAGGCCTCTGCTGAGATTGGTATTGCTAAGAATTGTTATTGTTCCATGCTTTAGAGAACTTAAGGAATCATCAGTTGTTGAATCTGTTACTCATGCGTCAATCCCTATTATCCATAATTGTGCTAACTTTTCAGAGAATCATCGCGTAAGTGGAAAATATGAAAAAATCCTCTATCAAGGTACAAAGCATGTAGTCCATCAGCCTGTGAATATCCAAGAGAAATCCTATGAATGTAACGAGTTTGGAAAAATGGTTCATGAATCCTCTCAATGTACATTGTATGACACACAGTATACTGCACAAAACTGCAGTAATGGTAAACACAAGGATGCTTCTGTTGAGTCTTCAACCATAAACAGACATAAAAGAGGGAACTCTAGAGAAGAACCTTGCAAGTTTAAAGACTGTGTATACTGTTTAAATTTGTTTCCCATCATCAGTCAGGATCAAAGAATCCATTCATGCCTCAGTATACACCAGAGAAATCATTCTGGAGAGAAACCCCACAAATGTAAGGCTTGTGGCAAGTGCTTTTACCAGTTATATCAGGTTAAATACCATTACAAAACCCATATTGGACAGAGACCTTACAAATGCAGTGAATGTAATAAATGTTTTTGCCAACTCATGCACCTAAGAAGCCATCAGACAATTCATACAAGGGAGAAACACTACAAATGCAATGAATGTGGCAAAAACTTTAGCCGAATGACATACTTAAGAACCCATCAGAGAATTCATACAGGGGAAAAACCTTACAAATGTAGTCAATGTGAAAAATGCTTCATTCAGAAAGCCCAACTTACAATACATCAGAGAATTCACACAGGAGAAAAACCATACAAATGCAGTGAATGTGAGAAATCCTTTACATGCTGCTCAGGCCTTAGAAAACATCAGAGAGTTCATACAGGAGAAAAACCTTACAAATGTAGTGAATGTAAGAAATCTTTTACCAGTGGCTCAGATCTTAGAAGACATCAGAAAATTCATACTGGAGAGAAACCTTATAAGTGCAATGAATGTGACAAATGTTTTATTCAGAAAGTCCAACTTAGAATACATCGTAGAATTCATACAGGAGATGAACCTTACAAATGCAGTAACTGTGTCAAAGTCTTTACCCACCTCTCAGGTCTAAGAAAACATCAGAAAATTCATAGTACTGAAGGAAAGTTTCCATTAGTAAAGAATGTAGCGTGTGCTTTATCCAAATTCTGCCCTTAAAAACCATTGCATGCCCCATACTAGAAAATCACTATGAACATGAGAAATTTCTGAAATCCTGTAAGTAATGTTCAAATCTTAGAAAACATCAAGAGTTTACATTGAGGAAAAATTATTAAAATGTGACAATGTACCAACTACTTTATTAAAAAATTTACTTTTTCAACCTCAAATACTTCATAATGAAGACAATATGGAAAAGCCTGAAGAGTGTTCTGTTTGTGTAGCAGTTTCCTAGAGACTGAAATATTCCGTCCTGAAGAGAAGCTGATAAGGGCAGGAAATATAACTGCCAAATGGCTTCATAAAGTTCTAGAAACAGGATTCACTCTACTTAACTCCCATAAAGAAACTAAGATCACACAATATTTAGTAGAAGCTTTGACAACCTGAACCACCAAAATAGGATGCATTTTATCCAGTAGATATGCCTGCATTTGTACAGTGTGCTTCAAATGTCCAGTGTTAAGTTGTTTTCCATGTTGGATTGGAGTTTCCTGATGGGGACTGTCTTTGAGTCCGTTCTGCTGTTGTAAGCACCTCCTTCCCCATAATTCTGTAAGTAGCACCAATAAAGGTCATTGGTCAACAAGATGGACTTGGTGGCAAGGCATACTTTGTTGTCAGTTCCCAATCCTGGAAAAGTCTCTCATACATGTTCTGGACCTGTTATATATTCTCTTGTCATGTTCACCAGAAAATTAATGTTGAAGAGAAAGCATTTGATCAGCTAAAGTTTGGAAGATTGTATGTACTTACTTCTCCAGTCTTATTGCCATAGTAATATTTGGTCTTGTTAAAAGGGCTCAACATAGACAGAATGTAGAGGGTTAGGAAATCCAGAGTGGAAGCTACTCTCTCTTTCTTGGAATAGAGAGTGAGAGGTATATAAGGGGAAAATGAAAATACAGTTACAAAACTGTCAGTGACAGACATTGTCCAAATTGGGCTGTGTCCATACATGGCTCTGAACTCATGCTTAGCATCCATGATTCAGTAAAAGAGCAATGACCCTCAGTACAGTATTGCCTGTGGACAAATACTGGTCCACATGGTCTCCTTATGTACCTCTGTGCCATAGAAATTCCATCCTTTGAGCCCAATGATGTGAAATAAATATTGTTAAATCCTTTATTCAGTGCTATGTGGTAGGCATATCAGAAAAACCATGGACTAAAACTCAGGAAAATGTATTAATAAAGACATATATTTAACTTAATTGAATGTTTGTGTCCATTTATACAAATATCAAGAAACTATGAAGCTTTAAAAAGAAACCTTATGAGCAAGACAATACATGCATGCTAAAATAGAGCTTAGACTTCCTCAGTGATGTCCTGGAAGATCATTTTGAAGTACTGAAAAAAGAAAGGGAAGTATTCGGTACAGTGCCAAAGTACTGTATTAGGATATTGATACTTGAGATGGTTATTCTTTCACTACATCTGTAATTAAAACCTAAATATTGAGGGGCATACCTGTGAGTGATTTTTGCTTAGTTTTAAAGCGGAAAGATCTACTTCTAATCCAGATATTTCACTTGGAAAGACACATCCTTCATCTGGATCTTTGAGGTGGGAAGACACAGCCTTAGTCCTAATCTTTGGAGGTGGGAAGACCCACTTTTAATCTGTGGCACACATTCTGCTGTCAGGCTATATAAGGATGTAAAAGAAGGAAGTTTTTGCTCTTTGCCTGCTTGCTCTCACCTCTCTAGCAAGTCATTCCTTCACTGGCATTAGAGCCCACTTCTGAAGACCAGCTGAGATAATCAGCTTTGGGACTGAACAAGTACTGGATTCTTGGACCTTCTGTAGAGAGGCAGCCATTGTTGGAATAGCTGGACCACAGTTTAGAGAGAGATTCATTCTATAAATTCTGTTCTAGGGAGGGGTCAAGTCTGCATGTCCATCTTGTAGCAGAACTTGTCCACTTGGGTCTCTCAAATGGTACTGGTTTTGAAAGGTTCATGTAGAACAGCTGAGGCTTGGCATTGTGTGGCAGGGTCAGAGGTTCCCTGAGGAGAGGGCATTGATGAATATGCAGCCCCAGTTGTAGTAGAAACTCCAGTATATTGGAGTTGCCCTGATCATGTGATAACTGCCAACAGGCATGGAATCCAACTGGATGGAGATTCTGAGACAAGTTGTGTGTGCTGTACAGGGCATAGTAAGAGAATGAAGCTACACAAGACTTTGGGTCTTATGACATAAAACACTAAGTGTTTGTATATTTGACTCTGAAATTAATTTGATTTTATGGTAATTGTGCCATGGCCCCTGCATCTTAGAATAAGAGCATAACATATTTTGATTGAGTGGCAGCTACAGTTAAAAGATGAGTTTTAAGGGGACATGATTTTTAAGTGCTGATCTTTTTTAAAAAATGTTATAGGGAATTTTAAGTTTATTTTAGGATAGACAAGAAAGGAAAAGGTTATGATTGATAGACCATAGTACTGGTTGGTGTTTGTCAACATGACAGAAATTGAGAGTCTTTTTGGAAGAGTTAACCTCCAAGAAATAATTGCCTCCATCTTGTTAGTCTATGAGATACCTATATGCCATTTTCATGATGAATAGGTGATACAGAAGGAACCAGGTCACTGTAGATATTGCTACCCTTAAGAAAGTTGTCCAAGGTTGTATAAGAAAGCAAGTTGTACTTGGACAGCATGCCAATGACCTCTGCTATGTTTCATGCCTCTGGATTCCTCCTTTGATTTCTCGGTGATGAACTGTAACTTTTGGGATGAAATTAACCCCGTTCCTTCCCAAGTTTTTGTTTAATTGGGTGGAACCCTGCCCTGAATGTATTATTCCCACCACACCTAAGCCTAACCTTGTCTATCTTCGGCTGATCCTGAACTCAGGAATCTGCCTGCCTTTGTATCTACCCGCCTTTGTATATTTCTGACAACCTGGCTCATTAGTGCAGTTGCCTTTGTTTTTTGGTTTTATGTTTTTTAGATTCATGAAGCCCCTCATAATGCATATTGCATCCTAATATTTTTGCATTGTTGGGAAATTACTTATTTTGGAACTCATTTTTTTAACTCATTTTTAAGAATTCTTTTCCATAGCCTTAAGGGCTGTCCTGAAGGTTCCATCACTTACCATTTTGCTGAAATATTAGACATACCTTCAACTCCTGGACTTATTCTGTTTCTAATTATCATGGAGTCATTAACTTTAGCAGGGAGGACATTCCATAGAGGAATGTCAAATATGTACATTATAATACAAACAAGCCTTATGCCCAAAGCAGCCATCAACACTCATGGAGGTTCACACAGGGGCCTATTTCCAGCAAAAGGAAGCTAGTCACTCAGTCTCCACTAAGACCACACTGGGTTCATCAACTAGCAGAGGCTCACACCAGGGCCCTGTCCCAGGGGCAGGAACTATGTCACTCTGTTCATACCAGGGCCTCACCAGGCTTGGAATTTGTTTTTGTTTGTTGGTTGGTTGGTTTATTTTTGTTTTTGTTGTTTTGTTTTTTTTTTTTAAAGAAAGGAAATTACTATTAATTTTGGATGTCCTGGAACTGAAAATGTATACTGGACTGATCTTGAACTCACATAAATCTAGCTGCCTCTGCATCCCCAGCACAGGGATTAAAGGCATGTGCCATTATGCCTGGTCCCACATTGGTTTTGATAAATGTTTTCTCACCCATCAGAAAAGTAATTAAGACATCTGCTATTGTATGCTTTGCTCTGTAATCGTATAAAAGCACACATCCCTCTCCATGTAACTAGTACAATCTCTTATAACGCATCAAGGCTCAAGAGTTCCTCTTTCTTCTTCCTAATGATATATGATGGTTGGAGTGCTCAGTTCTTCAGCCCATAGGTTTCCTGTATTGTTCTCATTGTCTGAGGTCTGCATTCCAATGTCACTGTAGCTTACAGGTGCAGCCATTGCATCTCACTGCCTGCTGCTGCCATGAATCCACACTCTATTAGCAAACCGTCCTTAATGTTGCTTATGCCAGGAACAGTTAGTGCTAAACAGTTTATGCTGCATAACAAATGCTGGTAAGCTCTTTTTTTTTTTTTAGTATGAGGATAATAGCCCTTCACCAAGGTGCAGGTGTGCAGATGGCCATTCCTCTGTGCTAAAGAAAAGGGACAACCTTGAACATTTATAACAAACCTTGCTGCTGATTTCTTAAATGCCAGGGAAATCATGGTGTTGGTGGCACATGGACATGACACATGGAGTGGCTGGATCTCTTCAATTAAGTCTATTTAGGAAGAGGCTATATAGACAGCTGGGAAAGTTCACACTAACACTGTAACAGATACAACTGTGCTAGCAGGGTTCACCTCACCTACCTATGTTCACCTGTTTATCCATGATGAGCAGTGGCCTCTGGGCCTTCTGTGTGATAGAAGTGGAATGTCTCTCCTAATCACATGTGCTGTCTTTAATGAGTTTTTAAAGACTGTATAGGAGAATTTTGTTTTAATAAATAAAAACAAATGAGTTTAATGTTTATATGTAGAAACTGAATGAAAACCATATCTAATCTACCAGGCTGAATCTTTCATACCTTATTTCAGAATATGTAAGATAATAGCCAATTGCACAGCTAATATTATTTTAAAATCACTCCTATTTGTCTGTCTGTATGTTTATTTATTTATTTTATGTGCAATGATGTTTGCCAGCATGTATGTCTGTGAGAGTGTCAAATCTCCTGAAACTAGAGTTACAAACAATTGTAAGCTGCCAAGTCAGTGCTAGAATTGAACCAGGATGCTCTGGAAGAGCATCTTAACCTCTGAGCTATCTCTCCAGTCCCTGCGCAGCTAATCATTAACCATTTGCTAAAACTGCAGTGGTTTCCGTTGGAATCTTTCTTAAGGGCACCTTAAACCTCATAAAATTTGCATGATTCTATTCAGTGTTTTTGCTGGCATCTCAAGAAATTAAAATACAGCAGAATTTACATGGTACATTTTCTTGATTTATTGATAATTTAAATAGCTTTAATTACAAAGCTTTAGTCAATACTTTTTTTTGACTAAGATTCTATTTGTACTACTTATATGATCCAACTAAACACCCAGATTTGGATTTTCTTTCTATAAAAAATGTTTTATTAAATTATGGGTAAATTTTAGGTGCAAGTCACTCTACAGGATGAGGTATGTCTTCTGTGTATCTACTAAAAATATATAACAGTATAACAAAAGAGTGACACAAAGACATAAATAAATTCACATAAGTGTCATGGTAGTGTATTAGTTCCTCTTCTATTGCAGTGTAGAAACACAAAGACCAAGAAAACTCTTATAAAAGAGAGTACTTACTTGAGGCCTTGCTTTGAGTTTCAGAAGAATAGTCCATCATTGTCATTTCAGTAATTGAGGTAGCATACAGATAGGCATGATGCTGGAGACATAGCTGAGAAATTTAAGTCTCGATCCAGCAGGCAGAGAGGGTGATACTCAGCCTGGCACATGGTTTGAATCCAGAGTCCAACACTCTGAATGTTACACAAAGGTATCTTGATACCTATCAGGTGCTGTGTACTGTATACAGTTGTATTCAAGCAAGTGATAGTGACGATGACTGACGGATGCTCAGGACCTCCCTGCTCCACCCAGTCTGACTAACTGCTTGGATCTTGTGCCTCTGAATTGGGAGACAAAGAAGTGCAGGAGAACATGCCAGGCCTATTGACATGTCTGAGAAGAACCACACGTATATTTGATGCTAGATCCCTTCCAGATTTTAAACTTGAAGTCCTTGACAGGGGACTTTGTGAAAAAGGTAGAAGGTAGAAGCAGGTAAAGCATGAATTATTCATCACATGAATATCATCTCTTCCCTGGCCTCTTTTAAGTTGAAGACATGGACTGTCATGTGTCACAGGATACATTCTGTTCAGAAATTCAGTGTTGGTAAAGTTGAACTACAACATCTATCACTGGAGTGGTAGGTTTGTATGTTATAGATAGTGGTAATAATAGTACTTGACCTGAATATAGTCACAGGCAAGGACCATGAAGTTATGTGCCAGGTGAAAATGTCCTGTTTTTTTTTTCTTTCCTTAAAAATTCAGGCATACTGGGCAGCACAGTAGCACTGACACTGATGGTGCCCCCAACCTTCCCTCTGGTGAGCCCACACTGAGGGCAAGCGCTTGGGAGAGTGTGCCCCCTCATTTTAACTATTGACATTCAACTGTGCCCAGATCTAGCCTTGC